AATTAAATACTGCCGAGTTAGGGCTTATGAGAGGCTCCAAGTGAACAACACTCGTGTCCAAAACATGTCCAAAACTCGCTCTGTTTCACAATCTCAAAATGTGTTTTAATTCCTTTTCCTAGTATGGAAAACAAAAAATTGGCCAAATYGTGGTGGAAGGCACTTCAAACAAGCCCACGTATGTCTATGCGATGGCAGTGAAAGAGGTGATATATATATATACAAAATATATTATTACATTATACAGCCCTTTGCAAAAATTATGAGAATTGTCTAAATATCTAAATATCATAATATCCATATCCATATATTGTCCGGAACACGCGGGTTTGCTAGAATAATTCATTGTTGACATCAAGAAAATGTTCAGAACTACGAATAAGTCCGTCGCCAAAAAAAAAATAAACTACAAAGACAAGGGACTAAGGGCATCGCGTGGGATTACCCATCATGCACTTGATATTATGATATTTAGATATTTCAACAATTCTCATAATTTTTGCAAAAGGCTGTAACTTTACAAATAATAATCTCAACAAGTCTTAGATTTCTGGCTCATTATTTTTTTGTTTTGTTTTGTGTTTTTTTTATTGTATGGGCATGATGAGTGGGAGGTTCGTAGATGGTCTTTGCTCCCGCATCGGCATTGCCCACCAACTGTTACTCTTGCCCCTCTAGGAAGGCGGACATTTCGTGGCTCTGTTGACTTTGCATTCGATATTATGATATTTAGATATTTCAACAATTCTCATAATTTTTGCAAAAGGCTGTAACTTTACAAATAATAATCTCAACAAGTCTTAGATTTCTGGCTCATTATTTTTTTGTTTTGTTTTGTGTTTTTTTTATTGTATGGGCATGATGAGTGGGAGGTTCGTAGATGGTCTTTGCTCCCGCATCGGCATTGCCCACCAACTGTTACTCTTGCCCCTCTAGGAAGGCGGACATTTCGTGGCTCTGTTGACTTTGCATTCTCTGTTGACTTTGCATTCTTCCTAATCTGCTGGTTAGCTTCTTCTATAGCTGTATGTTCATCAACTGATTCTTCACCATAGCTGTGTAGTATCCTTTGACGCTGCATAAATTTCCTCCTGTTTAAACATCAAAAAGTATTCATCAGTACAATTATTTTATCATCTAGTTTAGTTTTGTCATAGCTCTTATCATCTAGCCTGTATTGATGCTCGATAGAGTCATTTGTGAAAAAAAAAAACAACAGTGAAACAAAGTGCAATAGGTAGAATTTGATAAAGCATAATACACTTRATATAGCGTATACTATACTGGAAGAAAAGACTGAGAGAAAAAGGGWAATAAATTGTGATATGCTAAATTTTATTTCAATGTATTTCACTTTTGAAAATGACTAATACCTGGTACTGGCAATGCAAATAAGATATATTTTTACCTTTGAGCGCTTYCCTGTAGGCGTTTCTGCTTTTGCTTTGCCCTCGCAGATTTTGCAKTTTCTGTTTTTTTCTTGTTTAACGCTTTCATCCTGTTCTCATTTTCACTCTTCCATATTTCCAAGAGTCCTTCAGGTATGGGGAGGTGCAGTAAATCAAGAAGCTCTTTCATCCAATGGTAGGATGCACCACACTTATTGTACATGAAGGTCATGTTATACTGACATAACCCAACATTTGTTATGAATTYATAGTGAATTTGTTGGAGGTTTACACTCTTGCTCCTAAACCTCGTCACCACATTAAACTTACTCTCAGGTAAGCTGGAGTGCCCCCTTCCCATTTTCTTGTGTACTATATCATGGGCCTTCTGGGCAACTCTGTTGCACTCTATCTCATATAAAAGACAATGAAGCTTACACGTAAGAACATGACGTGTCCTAAATGGCTTCCCAGTGCATGAAA